CCCCCCCCTCCTCCCCGGGGTACAATGTAATGTTAAGGTCAGAGATCTGGCAAAGCACATTGTTTATGGTGAATTGCTCATGTGCGCACATTGTTTATGGTGAATTGCTCATGTGCGCACATTCTTTCAGTTGCCGGGAGATTTCCTTTTGCTGTTTCATGGCGGAGAATGTCGGTATAATGCCGGAAATACAAAGAAAGATCAAATCTCAGATAGAAATATAAAACGTTATCTGTGTTCTCTCCATCAAATGAACAATGTTTTCCAAAAGTGAATGAGCAAGAAATAAAATGACCCTTCTCTGCCCTCTGTGATTGTGTTGCAGGGACTTAAGGTGCAGGAATTGGGGTGATCTGAGGGGTGAAGGTGCAGGAATTGGGGGGATCTGAGGGGGGAGGTGCAGGAATTGGGGGTGATCTGAGGTGTGAAGGTGCAGGAATTGGAGTGATCTGAGGGGTGAAGGTGTAGGAATTGGGGTAATCTGAGGAGGGAAGGTGCAGGAATTGGGGGGATCTGAGGGGGGAGGTGCAGGAATTGGGGGTGATCTGAGGTGTGAAGGTGCAGGAATTGGAGTGATCTGAGGGGTGAAGGTGTAGGAATTGGGGTAATCTGAGGAGGGAAGGTGCAGGAATTGGGGGGATCTGAGGGGGGAGGTGCAGGAATTGGGGGTGATCTGAGGTGTGAAGGTGCAGGAATTGGAGTGATCTGAGGGGTGAAGGTGTAGGAATTGGGGTAATCTGAGGAGGGAAGGTGCAGGAATTGGGGGGATCTGAGGGGGGAGGTGCAGGAATTGGGGGTGATCTGAGGTGTGAAGGTGCAGGAATTGGAGTGATCTGAGGGGTGAAGGTGTAGGAATTGGGGTAATCTGAGGAGGGAAGGTGCAGGAATTGGGGGGATCTGAGGGGGGAGGTGCAGGAATTGGGGGTGATCTGAGGTGTGAAGGTGCAGGAATTGGAGTGATCTGAGGGGTGAAGGTGTAGGAATTGGGGTAATCTGAGGAGGGAAGGTGCAGGAATTGGGGGGATCTGAGGGGGGAGGTGCAGGAATTGGGGGTGATCTGAGGTGTGAAGGTGCAGGAATTGGAGTGATCTGAGGGGTGAAGGTGTAGGAATTGGGGTAATCTGAGGAGGGAAGGTGCAGGAATTGGGGGGATCTGAGGGGGGAGGTGCAGGAATTGGGGGTGATCTGAGGTGTGAAGGTGCAGGAATTGGAGTGATCTGAGGGGTGAAGGTGTAGGAATTGGGGTAATCTGAGGAGGGAAGGTGCAGGAATTGGGGGGATCTGAGGGGGGAGGTGCAGGAATTGGGGGTGATCTGAGGTGTGAAGGTGCAGGAATTGGAGTGATCTGAGGGGTGAAGGTGTAGGAATTGGGGTAATCTGAGGAGGGAAGGTGCAGGAATTGGGGGGATCTGAGGGGGGAGGTGCAGGAATTGGGGGTGATCTGAGGTGTGAAGGTGCAGGAATTGGAGTGATCTGAGGGGTGAAGGTGTAGGAATTGGGGTAATCTGAGGAGGGAAGGTGCAGGAATTGGGGGGATCTGAGGGGGGAGGTGCAGGAATTGGGGGTGATCTGAGGTGTGAAGGTGCAGGAATTGGAGTGATCTGAGGGGTGAAGGTGTAGGAATTGGGGTAATCTGAGGAGGGAAGGTGCAGGAATTGGGGGGATCTGAGGGGGGAGGTGCAGGAATTGGGGGTGATCTGAGGTGTGAAGGTGCAGGAATTGGAGTGATCTGAGGGGTGAAGGTGTAGGAATTGGGGTAATCTGAGGAGGGAAGGTGCAGGAATTGGGGGGATCTGAGGGGGGAGGTGCAGGAATTGGGGGTGATCTGAGGTGTGAAGGTGCAGGAATTGGAGTGATCTGAGGGGTGAAGGTGTTGGAATTGGGGTGATTTGAGGGGTGAAGGTGTAGGAATTGGCGTAATCTGAGGGGTGAAGGTGCAGGAATTGGGATGATCTGAGGGGTGAAGGGGCAGGAATTGGGGACATTTG